GGTCGGTAATTCATTAGCATTCTAGAGAAAGCGTCGAAATTAATTAACGGTAGATTGAGATTGGGTGATAACTGAACCGAAAAACTGGACTTCTCTTATTTTATTAGATTTTTATTTTATTTTCTTATTTTTATTTTTATTTTTATAAAACCAATCCCCCCCACCTTTTATTGTTTTCTTAGTTTTAATTCAATTGATACAAAATTATCACGATTTAGTTCCTACTCCTCGTGGGATCGACCCTTACTCGCCACTACTACTAGCTAGTAAAGGTTAGTCGAGGAAACTTTATAAATTTAAATTTGCCGCGTTGTGACGCGCGGTCAATAAGCATGTGATAAATAATAATGTTTATCTTGATAAATAAGTAATTTTTATCCATACAATTTTGCAAATAATATTTTTTTTTTCCAACAAAAAATATTCTCCATATGAAAATGGCACTGTTTTTTAGCTAATATATTGTCTCTATCACTTTAGAATTAGTGAAATTTGATGTTGGACGGCTAATTTTTATGGGAATTAAAGATATGTGTGATAAACTTTTATTATTTTTATATTTTAAAATCTATCTATAAATTGATCTTTGTATAGCTTATAATATGCGTCCTGAATTAAACTTGGTAGAATTTTGTAAGAAAAATTCACTATTTTTTAATCTAACGCCAAAATTGTGTAAGATTTATTAATCGTACTTACAATATAATATAATAGCTTTATTTAAAATAACGTAAAAAAATTGAAATTCTATAATGTGAAGTAAATTCATAGCTTTATTTTAAAATAACGTAAAAATTATAATTCTCTAATTTTGACTAATTTCATGAAATGATTATAGCATATTTCACTATTATTCTCATAGATATATTTTATTCTCATTTCAAATTTGATTAATTGATACGATGCACAAAATAATTATTCCACTTTGTATAGTCAATCTATATTTGAATGCAAATTAATGTTAAGCTTACAGTAATTTTACCAAATATTGTAGTTATCAAGTATTATAAAATTTATCATGCTAACCAAAAGACTTAGGGGGGTGTATTTAATTAGGATTTTTAAGGACTTTTTAAGACTTTAGAAATCCTGCTGTATTCAATTTAGATTTGTTAAGACTTTTTAAAACTTTTAAAAAATCCTGGGGTATTCAATTGGGATTTTCAAAAGTCTTACAAAATCCTGAGGTATTTAATTTTTTTGACACTAGGATTTATTAAGACTTTTTAAGATTTAGTAGGATTTCTAAACAAAAAACCTTATATGAAATCCTACTTCAAATCTTACCTTCGGACTTGAGATTTCATAGAATTCTTCCAAAATCTGAAAATCCTAGAAAGTCTCAAATCTCGAAAAATCTTAAAATGTCACTTAAATTCCGAATTGAATACACCCCCCTTAATCATCCACATGGCTTAAATGTCAACAAAATCAGGTTGATTTGATAGTAACAAAATCACCAACTGACCAAAAACAACAAAATTATAAAATCTTGATGATCACTTTTATTTAAAGCTATATACATGGATAAGCTATAATTATATCATATGAAAAGTGATTTACCTGAAATATTATTAAAATTCCCGTCTAATATTTTCAAAGTTAATATTTTTAGGATTTTTTTAAATGGCGGCTGAATGAAAATTAGAATTCAAATTTAAAAAAAAAAATTTAGAAAGATATTGTGTAAACCTTAATTCTTAAAAATATGGGCAATTATTTCCTTAAATGAGTAAATCTGACACATAATAAGAAAGAATATTGAAATTCTTGCTCCCAAAAAAATCGATCAATCGTTTTCTTAAATTTTTCAGTCTAACGTGTGAATTAGGTTACAAAAATCCAGTCACTCATTTAACGAATAAAAGATTTGAATTTTTTTTAAATCTTTCCAAAAAGTCATGCCAACTTAATTGTTAAATATTTTTTTTATCCATGTTTATCTATCTAGAAATCTCATATTTATTTAATAAAGAATGTTATTTCAGAAATTAAATTTTAGTACTTCAGATTGTTCAACCTAATTGATGATTTTTTTGTCCATATTGATCTAACTACAAAATCTTTTAAAGTTTACAAAGAATCTTATATTATGTTGATTCTTGGTACCTATTTTTTGTACACATTATTTTTCATCTCATACTCAAATTATAAATGTTAATGCGAATCTTAAATATCTCATATTTATTAAATATATATATATATATATATATATATTTATAGAAGCATGACGATACATGTAATTATTTTTATCATATATCATGTGTTGGATGTTATTGGCTTTGTTGGAGACACTCATTATATTCAAATAAATAATATATAATTTTCTATATTTTTGAATTTATTTTGTTGCAATAATGAGATGTTAAATGTAAATAATTATGTTTAAAATAAAATTTTAAAATAGTTTTAAGTAATAAGCCCGTCCGTGCATCGCACGGGATGCAGACTAGTTTACATATGATGAATTAAAATGAAAATTAAAAAAGGGAGAAAAAAAAACACCAAGTAAACTTGATATTGGAAATTTATATTTAAAGATATGCGAAACAAAATTTAATTTTATTTTTATTCTTTTCTATTTGTATCCTTTTCTAGAAACAATATAAATAAAATCAATTTCCATAACAAAATGTTTGGCCAAACTATTCAAGGGATAATAACGTGTTTCAATCTTTCGAAGAGGTCCTGCTTTACATTAGTTGTTGTGGTGCTTGTAAAAAAGGCCAAAATTTGAACCATAGACAGTGACTTTATTTTTTATTTTTTTTGACAAAAAAAAAGACAGTGACTTTATTTTTGTTTATTGTATCAATTAGTTTTTTAGTTGATCAAGAAATTGAAATATTTTATTACTACAGTACCATTGCATAATAAATCTAGAAAAAGGGCATTAACTGGTCAAAGATCAAAAGGTTGAAAATCTGGAACGATCTAGATGAAAATGCCTCGTGATGTAAGCCCTGAAGTCACGATAATGAGAAATCATGTAACATTAGTAAAGGTTGGCCTATATATGATTCAATTTTGCATATGAAATACCAGTATATCATTTAAAAGTTATAATCATTTAAATATCATTCTGTAATATGTTTTTTTAGTTGAATATACAATTAGATAAGTAAAGAATAATGCAACATCGACACCTAAGTTGACCTGGCCATGTTTTAATATTTTCCTTCTTTTTTTATTTTATTTTAAATTTTTGAATAAATATTCAAATTTATATTTTAAATACTTATGATGTAATACAATATTATTAATATTCAAAGATAATAATAATATATATAAATACATATAAATTATTTTGAAATATTTGAAAATTGAGAACAATGAATATTGGTTATAAGAAGATCCACCTGTGAAATTTATTTGCCATTTTTCGGGCTTTCCATAGTTAAAACCGTATAGGTTCCTGAGAAATTTGCATAGTTTACTAGACATTTACAATATTATTGTACATTTACAACCCTTAAATATTTATTTGTATATATACTAGAAGTTTGTTTGAATAGGTAACTCTCCTATTTATATGGTCTCTCTCTTATCTTCATCTTTCTCTCTCTCTCTTCTTCACGTCATATCTCAATTTCACGTCAGATCTCAATTTCTCTCTATACACGCCCCGCTTCAAGCTCATACAGAAACCAGAAGAAACACCAGAAATTTTTTATACGCCCAACTAAGATTTCAAGGAGTGAGATATGCCCGTCGCCGTCGAAGAGGGGAAGAACCGACGCCGCTGTGCGTCAGCCTCAGGACGCAGTTCGGCAACGACCCTACAGTTGTTTTTTGAAGAGACGACGATGAACTCCAGCGGCTGCGCGTGTGGATGATGGGATGTGTTTTTCTTATATCTTATGTATATATTCTATTTATAATGACAAGATTGATATATCATCTATATATAGGTTGTGTATTTTCTTTTATGTTGACGGTATACAATGAGTTATCTTTTGTATATGTTCCCGACAAATATATTGTTTTTTAGTATATGTTAAGGTCGACTGTATATTTCTAGTATATGTATATGAGTACAATTTTCAACTTCTTTTATATACTGTAAATATACAAACAATATATATAATATATCAAGACAAATTACAAAAATAAAAAAAAATAAAAAAAAACATTGAAAGAAATATATCTGGTTGAACATGTTCCTAATTAGTAGGTTATATACACTTACCTTTGTTTTGTCAATTAAATCCAAAAGATGCAGTTAAATCCTATGCGTGATTGTAGGAAAGATTTAATTTGGTAACTGAATTTTTTGATTCAGCATAAATAAATGCGCTGGATTTGGTATATAGGCAAATAAAATCCCTCATCTCGTAGAAATGCAATATATTCATAATCTTGTGGTTAATAACAAACGGGGAATTTACATACATACAAATCCGATTGTTAAACAATTATAAATCTACTACATTCAAATTTAAATTATACATCTACGAACATTACGTTTTTTTTCTCTTTCCACAATCTTTAAATACGACACGCTTTTTCTCTTTTCTCTCTCTTTAAACACGCCACATTATTTTTCTCTTTTCTCTCTCTTTAATATTTTTTTTCTTCTTCCCCTATTTCTTCCCCTGTTTCTTTTTATCTTTCCACAATCTTTAATTTTTTTCTTCCTCCCCGATTTTTTCCCCGTTTCTTTTTAGGTGGTTCGCCTCTTGATTGGAAAAATCGAACCCTAATCCCACCGGATAACGGAGAACCAAAATGCATCATATACAAAATATATACTGAATATATAGTTATTATTTAGAAAAGACATACAGAAGATAAAAGAAAACTAAAAACACATTATATACCAAAAATATACTGAATATATAGTCATTATCTACAGAAGACAAACATAAGATATATAGAAAAAAAAAATATAGTCATTATATATAGAATATATACAGAACATATACTGACAATATATTATATACATCAAAGAGTTGTCCGGTTTTGTCACAACACCAGATCCAGGCGTCAAGTTGTCAGACATGGCTTGGCCGCCCTCGACCGAAATCCGCCAGCCCGCTTGTCTTCCTCCCTGCCCATGGTCGTCTCTCGTTAGCGACCAGATCTGAGGTTCGATTGTCACGTGTTCGATCTGAGCATTTGTTACTACTTCAAACCTAAATGCGGGCTTTCATAATTTCATTATCAGGCTTACCCCCCACTGACCACGCCGCACCACCGCCAGTGTTCTGATTCTCCGTCTTTTGAGTCTCTACACAAGACGACCTCCGACCACTCCTTGGTCACTGTGCGACCTCAGTTCGGGAGATTGAAGTCAGTCCGCGCTGCTTTCACCCACTGGTCATCGCTTCTCTGACCGCCACCAAGGCATCGTCCACCGTCAAGATCTTCAAAATTGGGATGGGAATACAAGAAAATGGTGACAAAATTTTAGTGTTTTTGACAAGAATTTTGAGTGGGCTGTTTGATTTTGGATTTGGGAAGTTATAGGTGTTCGTAAATTGATGAAAAGAAGAAGGAGAAGAGATAAGAAAGAGATAAAAATTTGACGGAAAGGAAAAGGGGTAGATAGAGTGTTGGATAAAGAATGTGGTATAATTCCAAATAAAAAGTAGGATGTAAGCATAATTGCAAATAAAAAGATACAGTTCGTATATGTACAATTAAAATTGCTCCTGGTGGTGTGCGGGATAAATTTCTCATAACAAATTTCGCAGGTTCCACTGGCAGTGAGATCCGGGCTTATGAGGCCCATGCTACAAATGGATATTAGCTCTTAATAAGTAACTTGGGCCAATAATAGAGACTAGCCCATTTGATATTTTTCCCATGAACTAACCATAGATATCCACCGACATTTGTGGTCGTTAAAATTTCTCGTCCAATCATTTTGGAAACTCGTCAGCCAAATCAATATATTACCACGACTTTTCTATCTTGTTCAATGGCCTCTACTAGTCTAGAGGTTCACAATTTCACACGCACATTCACGTTATCTTTACTTGTGCACATCCCTTATTATTACCCCAAATTATTCGGTTAGGCTAAAGTAATATGCACACTTTTTTATTATAAAATAAAATATCATATTTTAAAAATAAGACAATCATAAATATAAAATTTAATAGTAGGATGAGTCCATAGTAAAACTGATAATACTAATAGACATTTTTGTTACTTATTGAGGGGAAAAATAAGATAGATAGGTCTAGCCTCTAGGCCTTTTACTTATTGAGGGGAAAAATAAATTCATATTAAATGCTCATTTCATCCACTTTTTACTTCTTGAGGGGTAACAAAAGTTCATATTAAGCACCTTGATTCAATGAGCTCTTCATAAATAACCAAGCTGTAGCCATCCTTCACAAAAAACAAATAAAATAATAATAATAAATAAAATAATAAAATAAAAAATAAAAACTTTTCATCCAATTTGCATACAAAAAATCCAAATAAAATAAATAAANAAAGTAATGGTGATGAATGATGATTGATGAACTTGCTAGTCTTGCTAGGAAGCAAGTCATGAACTATTCAATCTTGGTGTTCTCTTAATTATTCAAATCTTGACCATGTCTTCACATTTCACAAAAAATTATTAATACTAATAAAACCAAGTCATTTATTTTTCTCATTTATTTATTTAAATTAGAACAATAAAAATCTCTTCGTCTTCTCTGCTGCAGATCCCAAACTGAAGGGGAAAAAAAGACCCTCACAGAAAACAAGAAAAAAATGGTGAAAAAATCCATAGCTTTCTCTCTCCTCCTAATCGCCGCCATCTTCTCCGGCAGCCTCGGCCCCGCTGCCGCCAATTTCTACCCGAACATCTCGGCCATCCCTTCTTCCATCCTCCCCAACGCCTCCGCCTGGGACTCCTTTGTCAAACTCGCCGGCTGCAAAAAGGGGGAGAAAACAGCCGGACTCGACCGGCTCAAGTCATACTTCCATAGGTTCGGCTACCTCGACCCCGGCCCCTCCACCAACCTCTCCGACGACCTGTTCGACGACGGCCTGGAGGCCGCCGTCCGGAGCTACCAGCTCAATTTCAACCTCAACTCCACCGGCCGCCTCGACGTACCAACCCTTCAGCGCATCGTACAACCCAGATGCGGAAACCCCGACGTCGTCAACGGCACCTCCACCATGCGCCGCGGCGGCGGACGCGCCTCCAACTCCACGGTGGCCCACTACTCCTTCTTCCCAAACCGGCCGCGGTGGCCCCCCGGCCGGAGCGAGCTGACTTACGCCTTCGATCCGGCGAACCGGCTGTCGGACCAGGTCCGGGCGGTCTTCGCCCGGGCTTTCGAACGGTGGTCGGAGGTTTCCACGCTGTCGTTCGTCGAGGCGGCGGCCGGCGGCCGGGCGGACATCCGGATCGGGTTTTTCACGGGGGAGCACGGTGACGGGGAGCCGTTCGACGGGGTACTGGGGACGCTAGCGCACGCGTTCTCGCCGCCGGCGGGGAGGTGCCACCTGGACGGCGACGAGAGCTGGGTGGTGGACGGGGATTTTCTCGGCGGGTCGCCGTTCTCGGCGGTGGATCTGGAGTCTGTGGCGGTGCACGAGATCGGGCATCTGCTAGGGCTCGGCCACAGCTCGGTGGAGGAGGCGATTATGTACCCGACGATATCGTCTGGTAGCCGGAAAGTGGAGCTAGCGGCCGACGATATAATGGGGATCCAGGAGTTGTATGGGTCGAACCCCAATTATAACGGGTCAGGGGTGGATTTGGTGCCCAGAGGGGAGAGGGACTTCAGCGGCGGTGGCGGGCGGCGGCGGCTGCTGACGGTGGTGTCGGAGGGGAGGTTTTTGTTGGTTGGGTGGTGGTTATTATTTTGCTATTTTTCATTTGTTTAGAAAATTATTTCTGTTTAGATAATTTTTTCTTTTTTTATGATAATTTTTTTGCTTTTGTATTTGATTGACTTGTATGAATTTTGAGTTGGACTTTAGTTGTTCATTGTGAACCCGTTTTGGGAATTAGGAATACGGTATTCTTGAGATAATTGATTGGTACTTCAATTGGTTTATCAAAATTGGTTAGTTGAATTCGAGTGATGTGGTGAAGAGAGGGAAAGTACTATGCATACTCTGTTTCATTGTACTATAGCATCTCAGGTCTGAAATATTTCTGTATTGGATTGAGATTTCTGTGGCTAGAAAACAGGGGACTTCAATGATTGGTGGTGGAGGATCTCGGAGCTCAACAAATCAGATATCTCGGAATTCTGTATCCAATTTTCCACTTATATCATTTGGTAGTTGTGGAAGGCCCGAAACTTGTGGGTTTTTCGAAATGAATGACTGCCTGCGAAAATGATCGTGGACAATGCTTGGCGGGAGTGGATGGAATTCAAAAATCGCAAGCTTTCAAAGAACTAAAACTGGAAGCGCATTGTTGATTAGGTCCTTTGGTTCAGTTTTCAACAATCTCTTCTAGCTTATCTGTTTTTCATGTTTTTGTTTGGGTTAGGATGAAGGTGCTCGAGTGACTTCACTTTGCCTGTCATTCTGGTTAGTTTTATTGTGTAGTTTCTAGGGCACTGATTGCAAGTGTACCTCCATGCTAGTGATGTAATCGGATTAATGAATCCGCCGTATTGTACTCTTTCAAATTTTCTATGAGAAATCCTATCGTTCNTAATTATATATATATAGGGGTTGGTTCAAATAAAAACTAGTCCTGGTGTGAGAACCGTGAGAACCATATTTGATGCTATTTTTAATTGTGTATGATGCTATTTTTAATCTCACATGGTGCTATCATTTTTACAAATGCTAACATAAATTGTGTTGCTATTTTTAATAAAATACATCTTGATTAAAAATAGCACTAAAATACAATCAATCATAGCACTACATACAATTAAAAATAGCGGTTCTCACGTTAGGATTTAGTTCTCATTTGAACCAAATCCTATATATATATATATGGAAGTCCAGTTTAATGAGTCACAATTGAAACACATAGATTGGGCTGACATAATAGACCAATAAAATTGGAGATATTGTAAGATGAATGGACTTTGTAAGAATTGTTGGAGGCTCGTGGTATAAAATAGAAAAAGGATATATAATAGGATAGAAGCCAATTAGCCCAAGAAAAAAGTGAACATTATTTCTTAGATTGAAATAGCATATGAATAAACTCACATAAATAGGTAAAAATAAAATAATTAAAGTACGACCATATTATTCACTCCCTACCACCATACTATACACATATACACGTATTTCCATTAAACCATTGAGTACCATTCACAATATTATATTTTATACTTTACAGGAAATAATAATAGAATTGAAATTAAATTTGTAAAATAATGGATCCCACACATCCACATTTAAATGTATCAACAAATGTAGTGAAATGTCTACATGGAGAATTGTTTAATGAGATGGTAATGTGGGTGATCGACCAATGTATTTGGTAAGTGTGCGGCCGCTCATGGCCGATCTTTCCTTATTCTTGTCGACGTGAAGGTCGACAACTTTCTTGGCCATCCGAACCTATGGGGTTTTGGATTGCTGGGAGGCTTCTTTAGTCCCCTCTTCAACGTTGAAGTGGGGGCCTTGGTCAATGTGAGATGTTTTTTTGTAAAAATAGAGAGAAGATTATTAACACACAAACAAACAAACAGTAAAGTAGACTGAATTTCAACACATAGGAGGTTCAGCTCAATCTTACCGAGCTCCTCATTAGATAGGAGGTCATCTACTTTGGTCGACATACCGCAGTGATAATGAAGTTGCCAATCGTTGAGAAGCATGGTCGAAATGACCTTTGATCGGCCCCAAGCGGCAATCATAAGGTCATAGGCGGGGTTATGAGCTGGCAGGATGTAGGTGACAAGAGGTTTAATCAACCAAAGTTTAGAGACAAAGGGTAAAGGTTTAGGAGGTCGAAGGAAATATAACCTTCTCTTCCAATTAGGAACATTAGTGGGTTTATCAACGATGAAGTCGGTATTGAAACGAGAAACAAGGTAGAGGCCCTTATGCTGGAATTTTGCGACGAAGTAGTATTTAAAAAGGTCAGGATTGACTTTACCCAACCTGAATGAGAAAGAACGACAAAAGAGATGAGGGTTTGCATAATGTTTGGGGAAAGCTGGTCTATATGAAGGTCATACGGCGAGCAGAGGTCGAGTAGGGCCTCGCTTAGAAGTAATTGAAGACCGACTTTAATTTGGTCCTCGAAAAAAGTGTAGCAGCTAGAGGGTGGAAGTTCATGGACGTCGAAGGCATCGGGAGCATTATACTTCCAATCGTCAAGAAGTCTAGAGCTGTGATGAGTAACCTCACCTGAGGATCGTTGCGGTTGGTTTCGCAGAACTCACTACGTTGGCCGGGGGGGTGGGGGGGGGCTCTATGTCATAAGGCAGCTCGTCTTCAGAAGGACTAGGCTTAGGTTGAACTATTGAAGGACGAGTAAGAGAAGGTCTAGTGGATGCAGGTCGAATGGATATGTCTTCTTCCTCAGCTTTTCTATTGTTCATGAGGTCGACTCGACCTGATGAGCTTATATTGAGGCTGGAACAAAAAGAGAAGAGAGCAAAAGTCACGGTTCTGGCACGTTGATTGCTAGCCTCCAAGCGCTCCTATCCACCGCTAAATCCTTGGAGATATTCCAATTTTTAAGGTCTCTCTTAACCGACTTTTCTCAAGTGAGTTTAGGCTGACCTCTACCTCTCTTTACATCCTCGACCCGCTGTAGAACTCTCCTACGCACCGGTGCATCAGGAGGCCTCCGTTGGACATGTCCGAACCACCTCAGCCGATGTTGGACCAATTTCTCCTCAATTGGAGCCACCCCGACCCTATCTCGAATATCCTCATTCCGGATTCTATTCCTTCTTGTGTGCCCGCAGAACCAACGCAACATACGCATCTCTGCTACACTTAGTTGTTGGGCATGTTGCCTTTTTGTAGGCCAACATTCAGCACCGTATAGCATTGCCGGGAGAATCGCCGTCCTATAGAACTTACCTTTTTAGCCTTTGTGGCACCCTCTTATCACAGAGAACGCCCGACGCTTGATGCCATTTCAACCAACCGGTTGCAATTCTATGCCTAACATCAGCATCAATGCCGCCATCCTTTTGTAGCATCGATCCTAAATACCGGAAAGTCTCCTTCTTGGCCACCACTTGCCCGTCCAGGCTAACGTCACCATCATCATGTGAAGCCATGCTGAAGGCGCACGTCATGTACTTGGTCTTCGTCCTACTAAGTCTGAAGCCTTTTGACTCTAACGTGTCCTTCCACAGCTCTAACTTCTTATTTACCCTTGTCCTACTCTCGTCAACTAGCACCACATCATCAGCAAAGAGCATACACCAAGGGATATCACCTTGTATGTCCCTTGTGACCTCGTACATCACCAAAGCAAATAGATAAGGGCTCAATGCTGACCACTGGTGTAGTCCTATTTTAATTGGGAAGTCGCTGGTATAGCCCCGACATGTTCGGACACACGTCGTCGCATCCCTGTACATATCCTTGATGAGGGTAATGTACTTAGATGGGACTTTGTGCTTTTCTAAGGCCCACCACATGACATTCCTCGGAACTCTGTCATAAGCCTTCTCAAGGTCGATAAAGACCATGTGCAAGTCCTTCTTTTGGTCCCTATATCTCTCCGTCAACTGTCGTATTTGGAAAATCGCCTCCATGGTCGACCTTCCAGGCATAAACCCAAATTGGTTTTGGGTCACACTCGTCACTCGTCGTAGGCGATGCTCGATAACCCTCTCCCAGAGCTTCATCGTATGGCTCATCAACTTAATCCCCCGGTAGATACCACAACTTTAAACATCTCCCTTGTTCTTGAAGATCGGTACTAAAGTACTTCTCCTCCATTCACTAGGCATCTTGTTTGACCAGAAAATGAGGTTAAAAAGCTTAGTTAGCCATACTAACGCTCTAACGCCCAAGCATCTCCACACCTCAATGGGGATACCATCAGGACTCATTGCTTTACCTCCCTTCATTCTCTTCATAGCCTCTCCGATCTCTGCCTCCCGAATTCTCCTCACCACGCGTCTATTGGTATCCTCAAATGAGTCATCCAACTCCAGGGTAGGACCTTCACTCTCCCCATTAAACAATTTTTCGAAGTACTCTCGCCATCTGTCCTTGATCTCACCATCCTTCACCAGTGGCCGATCCGACCCATCCTTGATGCATTTGATTTGGTTGATGTCCCTTATCTTCCTCTCCCGAATCCTAGCCATCCTATAAATGTCCTTCTCCCCCTCCTTCATGCCTAGGCGCTGATAAAGGTCATCGTAGGCCTGACCCTTTGCTACATTCACGGCACGATTTGCAGCCCTTCTCGCTATTTTATAGCTCTCAATGTTGGTTGCACTCTTGTTATATTCCACCAAAAAACAAAAATCGTTATATTCCACCAAACCTAAAGCTAAAGCTAGAGTTGTCAAAATGGGCCGGTGGCCGTAGCCCGCCGAAGTTCGCCTTTTGGCGGGGCGGGGCGGGCTGGCCCGCCATCCTGGTGGGCCTATGAAATGCCATCCTGGCGAGCCTATGAGTTTTTTCTTACAGCGCAAGACACGTGGTCTTTCTCATTTTTGTCTGATCCTTTGGTCCATCTAGATAGAAAGGAATAGTGCGAAGCATTAGAATATTACTTTTATGTGCTCTCACATTGTTTTGCAGGTAGATCGACATCTCTCTCTTCTTACAACTCTGGGAAGACTCACATCTAGAGACTGGACAGGCCGCACGCTCCACCACTTCGTCCCATCTCCGTTGCTGTCTGTCCAGTACCCAAGATCTAGAGCCGTTGTTTGACTCAGACTCGATTCCCCTTTGGTTAAGCTAAACATTGACGGATCTTTCGATCGACTTACCGGAGCGGATGGAGGCAGGAACCTGATTAGGGATCACAACGGAGATCTCATTACCGCCTTCCACGCCTCTCTTCAGGCCACCTCGAGTTATGTCGCGTAAGTTCACGCGCTTCAGGTCAATCTTCAGCTCGCAATCTCTATCTTTTCTCACATTTGGATAGAGCTGGACGCTGCCGCTATCGTCACCCTATTGACCTCAGGCCACCAGGGTTCATGGTAAATTCAGCACCCGCTTATGCGCATCAGATCCACACACTTCAGTCGGTTTGATACCGGATATCGCACATTTTCCACGAGAGGAACCTAACCATTGACTTCCTTGCTTGGATCGGTGCCTCCACTCCCTAGAGGCGCATCTTTCAGCCGGACGACACTCCTCTCCGCCTTCGTACTCTTGTGCGGATGGATCAGATCGCTTACCCATTGTTGAGATTTGGATAGTCATTTT